TCAAATATTTGATTTGATTTGATTGATTTGATTTGACAAATATTTGATTCAATTTGATTTGATTCGATCAAATTCAAATTGATTTAAATTGATTCGATCAAATATTTAAGTTTAATTTAATTTAATTCAATTTAAAAAAATCAAATCAAATTCAAATTGCTTAAATATTTGATTTGATTCAATTTTGAGGAACCCTAATAATCTTATTTATATGTATTTGTAATCCTGGATTATTAGATTTCGGATATAAAGTATTAATAAGAAATGTGATAGACATTTGGTCTTTTTTGTGGTTATATCTTTTTTGGAATTGGATTTATAAGAATGAGCATAATTACATAAGTATATACATCTTTTTATAACTCCCTCTTCATGTTATATATGATTCTTTTTTTGTATAAAACCATTTTTTTAGGCTATTTATTAACAAATAAATCACATTCTTCCCATGTTAAAAAATCTTGACACTATACAAATCAGAACTTACAATCTTTTTAGAAGAAAAGGATAACAAATTAGCATTGTTAACTTTAGTGGTATCAAATAACTCAACTTTAACCATATTGTTATAGAAATATATTAGAATGTAAAAAGAAAAAAGAAAGTCAATGGTTTGCAAGTAAAAAAAGAAAAGCACCTTTATTGATATCAATTTAACAATTACAATATGTAATACTGCGGTTTTTCAATGTGTGATATGTGATGCCATATACAAATAAATGTACATGACACCAATTTCCAAATATGACATTATATGTCAAATCATGTGACACAATATACACATGCATATAGCTAAAATTTTATTATTTTTATATTATTAAAAAACTTACTAAATATATAAATTTATATTTTTTATTAAAATTTTTATATATATCGATATTTAATAATTTAATTATTATAAGAATCTTTTGCATTTTGATTTGAATCAGAATTACACAGAAATGTATGACAGAATTTTGTGTAAGCATACGCAGGATTTGGTTTGGGCTAAAGGTCACGAAATTTTTTGCAATAGCAGATTTAGTTAGTCCGCTTATGCTGAAAGGGGCACGAAAAAATTTTTGCAATGGCAGATTTAGTTAGTCCGCTTATGCTGAGCAAAGGAGCACGAAAAAATTTTTGCAATGGCAGATTTAGTTAGTCCGCTTATGCTGAGTAAAGGAGACGAAAAAAATTTTTGCAATGGCAGATTTAGTTAGTCCGCTTAATCTGAGCAAAGGAGGACAAAGGAGCACGAAAAGTTTTTGCAATGGCAGATTTAGTTAGTCCGCTTATGCTGAGTTAAGGAGGACAAAGGAGCACGAAAAAATTTTTGCAATGGCAGATTTAGTTAGTCCGCTTATACTGAGTAAAGGAGCATGAAAAAATTTTTGCAATGGCAGATTTAGTTAGTCCGCTTATGCTGAGTAAAGGAGGACAAAGGAGCACGAAAAAATTTTTGCAATGGCAGATTTAGTTAGTCCGCTTATACTGAGTAAAGGAGCACGAAAAAATTTTTGCAATGGCAGATTTAGTTAGTCCGCTTATGCTGTGCAAAGGAATAAAGGAGCACGAAAAAATTTTTAATAGCGATTTAACTTTATTCAGCATAAACGTTTGTTTGTTTTATGTAACTATAAATATGGAAATGATCTACATCATATACAAAAAAAGTGACGAAGAAAAATTAACTTCAAAAAATAATAGACCATATCAAATTGAATTGAATTACAATTACATATTAGTCATTATTGTTAGTCCGGAGCGTAGCGAAGAACTATATAATTCTATATGCTGCTTGACTCATTGGTTACACTTGCTCTGGACTTAACAACGGTCCCCATTCCCTAATTATATTAAATATCTTTATCAACTTTATCATATTTATTTTAGTTTTTTTTTCTGACTGAGTAAATAAAAGGATCATACAAATTTACAAACTCATTTTCTAATCCTATTTTACTACCCATTAAATCATCATTTTTATAAATTATCTCTAATAAAAAAATCACTTAAATCGATATAATGTTCTGGAGAAGCAAAATTGGAAAGTTTGATGTGACTAAACTAAGTTTTAGCTCCAAAGCAGAACTCAATGAACTAATATAATACGAAAAAAATTTTAAGTCTCTATATATCATGCAATTGCATATATACAAGTTGCATGTGTACAAGTAACATCATTATGAACTACATCCCCACATTCTGCAAAGATTCTAAGAAACACCAAGTCCAAAAAAATTAATTTTGCGCTTAGAATGTCCACCAATATCAAAGATCAAACAGTATATGATTGAGCACTTCCTAGTCAAGAGCATTTTACTAAAGAGAACGAAAAGTAAAAACAAATTTATTAATTATTGTTATAATGAAAGAAAGGCAACTTACCTATTTATAATCTTCCTAAATCCATCTATGGTTATGCTTATAACATTTACCCCAAAGCGCTAATTTTCTAAACTTGATCTATTTCCTATAGGGCTTGATCTATATGTATATATTTGTTTTGCATCTTTACTTCACGCGTTTTTTCAGTTACGCGACTTTGGTCCAATCACAGACCTTATTGGCTTCAGTAATAAACACCAGCCAATTAAGTTACACGAGAATTGTTCTTTGTTTCAATTCGATAGTATAAATAACTTCCACATAACTTTTTTTTCGTCTTTCTATAAATTATAAATTTCACTTCTTCAAGTCCTCATTTCTTACACTTTTTGAACTTACAATTCTTACAATTCTTTCTTAACGTCGTGTTGAAAGTTCTCCCTGTTTAAGTGAATAAATATATATCGCAGCTCTAACGATGATGGAAAATGGCTATAAAAAAGGTTCTGCTTTAATGGTCAAAAAGTAAGTTTTCATTTAATTTTATACTTGATATTTAATAACCAAACGGTACTTGTTTTTTTGGTGGCAGTGAAAGTACTTTTTGTATTTATGATATATTCGTAACAATCAAAACAACTTTCGCTTCATTTTTAGATTTTATATCTAATTTATTTATTTTAAAAAAAAACTAGGCTACCTTCTCAAAGATATAACCTATCACTGTCCAGCTTTTGAATGCAAAGAAGAATAAAATCGTCTAAGAAAACGGATTCAATTTAATTTCTCGGAAAGCTTAAAGAAATGTATCAGAGACAGTGATAAACCGAATCTTACCGGATAAGGCACAGAAACAAATCTTACCGTTTTGGAAGAATAACTTATTTTTGATATGAATTACGTTATCAGTTTAAAGAGCGCTAACAATGACTTGTATTTGGTGGGTATAGAGTGATTTGTTGGTGTAAAGAATTCAAGTAATTCCACCCTATTTAAGCGAGTTACCCTGATTTACTTTTATAAGATCTCAACAAATTTAATATAGCTTAACTTATTAGTTGAACTGTTGATGGTGGTAGTGAATTGGTCGGGGTTGGAATGTTGGTGTTTTGTCTTCAAATTTATAGGCAATTTATTCATTAATTAAAGTTAAAAATTCTAAATGTTAATTATATTATGAAATTACAGAGCAACTTTTGTGGATGGCGATTAAATAATTACTATAATTACTATAACTTTTTATAATTTGTATTTTATCAGATACTTCTGAACAAGTTATTTATTTTTTTAAAAAAATAACCCCCCGGAAATAATTTTCGTAGATTTATTGATAAATGGTGTATTTTCTTAATGCATTATGAAATCTGACAGACTAATTAGACCGATCAAACAATTTGCCAATTTGGGTGAGTTTACTAAATTTAGAATTCGCGTTTCGTCTAAAAAGGGACGCGATTTAGATGTTTCGCCTGATATCGTACCAATTTGACTCACCGTTTATCTGAATTAATGTATTCAATCCTGCATAGTGAACAAGCAAGCAGCCTAGTTACAAAAGGGCTTGAAAAAGTGCCAGTGTTTAATAAAATGCAGTTCAAAAAGCTCGGAAAATTGAAAATTCACTTCGTTTTAAATGTTCGCAAGGTTTTGTACATTCCTATAATATTATTGTACTGATAATTGAGAAATTTCAACATGTTCTGAACTTTAAAATACTTTGAACTATTTATTAATTTAATAGAATTCAAATTGCCAAAATTAAAATGCGCGAAAACGAAGTTTCTTGAATCTATTTAAATAAAATTAAATGGTCGAGATTTATTGACGAGGAGAATTGACTTATTATCAGTTTAAATGGAACCTTCGCGAAACTCAAAATGTAATTGAAACTGAAAAGAAAGCAGGTGTTATCAGAGGAATTTAATAAAATCAAGGTGAATTATTTTTAAATTTTCTTATTAAATAATTTTTGATTCTTACAATACATCTGTTCTAACAGTTTTCCTTTTCAGTTTTTGGATTCCAAAGGATGATATAAAAATGAGAATCAGAAAGCGAAACATACGGATTTATAATTGCGGAGTTTTATAAGAGGTTTCCTAATAGAAACTTGTCCAAAGTTAATTATTTTATTGAGTGAGGATAATCTTTTTAATGACGCAATCAAGGATTATGTATTACACAATTAAAGGTAAATACAAAAATTAATTTAATATTCTAAATTTTCACAATTTATTGTTCTTTAATACTTTTTTATTTAATGTCATCAATACATTCTAAAGTCTATGTAAAGTTTTGCTAAATTTTGCGATTACTTCGTAAACCTGGATCTACTGAGGAGCAAATGGTAATATGGATTATTATTTAAAATCTTTATATTTATATCTATCTTTTTTCTTTGCATTACTGTCTAAAAATTATAATTCTATCATTCATTTTTTTTTTTATAGCAAACTATATTGATCGTGCATAATATGCTTCTAATGTATTAGGGAGTACATTGCAAGCAATGGAAACTTGCTCAAAAGAAGCAACCGAGATTTTTCCAAGATTACTTCAAATATTTGAAAAAATATAATAATATGCGATCTATATTTGAAGTCGCTTATTTAAATTATTGATTATTCATTACATTTATAATGAACTATAGTAACAATATATAAATTCTATTAGGTCGAATCTATTAATTACTTATGGAAGTTCATTCAACCTATAGCTCGTTGAGTTTTTCCAAGGTATTAATGATATTTAAAGACTGTTCCGTTCCTATGACTCGCACTTATATTTTTATCATTTTACAATATTAGCTTGTGGAAGAACTTGTATTCATTAGCAGTGAATATTATAAATTTGATGAAAGTACTCCATTAGCTGGAGATTTTAAGACTAAAGTTCAAGAATTGTAGCAATTAATAAAATGCAATGTTACTGATTTATTTGTAACTGGGCTCCAAAGACTCGCTGGTTTCCAAAAATTGGCATGATCTTCACTTATTCTATAACTCAAATAATTCAAAGCATCAAAATCCTAAAATTAACTCAAGCATCAAAAACCAAAAGTAAAGTGAAAGGAACGAAAATGCCCAACAACTCTAGCAGACAGGTTGAAGTGTCAAGCATGTTAAAACTGTGGTTGGAACCTCGTATTAAACTAACTTTCAGAATGATTCAAACGGCGAAAAACCCTGGCTTGATATTATAGATGGAAATCTGTATAAGGGTTTTGTCTCCACTGTCTTTGCACGCGTTATGGATCGGTTAGTTCGGATTTATGATGAAGACCGGGTATTTATATTGGAAAGATTACACCACATCCTGATGAGGTTACTGCAGATGTGACAATAAGACTTATGATATCATATTTAGTATTCACACAGATGCAATAAGATCATACAAGAATTGAAATTACAGAAGATTTTGTTAGGGTGGCAAAAATGGTTTTGGAAGAGGAACTTATTGATTTCGAAGAATTAATTACAAAATTTTATATGAATCATATACACAAGGAAAGGATTGTTTGACATCTCTAGAATAGTATTTTAGCAAAGGAGCAAAAATCTATAGCATAATCAATAATATAATTTTTAACTTTGCAAAGCACATTGTGATTTAATTGATGCTGCTATTATGTTCAACATTTTTCACGAAAAAACAAATTTTTTTTTTTTTTTTTTTTTTGATTTTTGAAAATTTAAATTTATAATAAAATTTCACATAATTTATTTATAATATAAGACATCTTCAATACTAACTTGATTATTCTTCGAGATTTTTTCCCACATTGAAAACAGATACTTTCAAATAAACCAGACGAATAATACATGTTAAGCTCTTGTTAACTTTAACTTTTTCAAAAAAGTTTATTCACATCGTCACTTTTATAATAATTACTATTATCTATCACCTTGATTAGCTGATTTCTTGTAAAGTCCATTTCTCATTTCATAAAATTCCCCTAATTTATTTTATATATTGCTTCTTTATTGTCATCGCCTACAGCTTTATGGAACCAATATTTGATTTTATCTATCATCACATCATATAATTTTAATCCTTTTCTTTACTGATTTCCGTTCCAATTCCAATATCCAAGCATTAACTTTGCGTTTATTTATAATAGATTCAAGTTGACAGGTTGATTTATTACAATTTTTTAAGTTTTCTGATGGCTTGCCTAATTGACTTTGTGATATTATTTAAGAACAATGATATTTAATTAATATCAGGAGTTAATTACTGTAATACAAAATAGAATTTTAATGAAATAATCATATCTTAATTTCCTTTAAAATAGATTATAGATTATTACAATTTAAGAATTTTCTCGCATTGATAATAAAGTACAAAGATAAAAAAAAAAAAAGTTCTTTTATAATAATAATTATAAAACTATAGAAGCGGGAAAAAAAATAAATAAAACTGTATATAAAAGTTGCGAAGGCAAATTCTCACATATCATCTAAGTTGAAACTATATTACAATCTGTTGAATTTATTATAATTTCCTCCTCTAAATTAAATATTATTTAAAATATTTTTCTTTGTTTTTATGATAAATATTTTATTTTTATTTAAATTATGTTTTTTAAACAATTATCTCTGTTTTTTTTAAATGTTATAAAATGTTATATAAACGACACAAATTTATCTTTAAGAGAAACAGGGTTTAAAGCTTATAATTCCAAGCAGTCATCAGCAGAAGCTGGTCGGATGCCCAATAGCGATAGTATCTGAATATTCCTCTTTCATATTTTGTGAATTATCTAACCGTTTTAATATAACTTTAACTTGGTCCATTTTTCGGTTTCTTCATCCAATTTTCATTTTTTCTTTATGGAGAATATTACCTAGTTCTCAAGTGCAGCAAAATGCTAGCAGGAATATTTAAAGGATATTCTTCCTTTCGTTTAGCAGTTGGATAATTTCTTTACAAGTAGAAATGATAAAAGTCAATAGTACATTTAATTTTATATTTTCTACATATTCATTTTTGACCTTCTGTGAAGGTTTATTATTGTGGTTGTATATCATTTTATTAGAATAATGAAAATTTTATGAAAGGGTTTACAGGATGATTTTTATGATGAAATTTTTATCTTTTGTTATAAACTGTTCTTTTTATAATGAAAATTCTTCAAAATAATAATAATTAAACTTGTTAATTAAATGTAATATTGAAAAAAAAGCGATCAAATAGATTCTTTGTAATTACAATAAAATTTTAATGATAAACGTTCTTCATATGAGAGCGGAATAGAAATATAAATTTGTTACAACAGATAAATGAATAGTTGGCTGATGTATTATTTCCCCATTAAGAAAATTTCAGGTTCGTAGATAATATTTAAATTTAGCATTTATATAGAATAAAAAATCTAGACCTTTTTTATGTAATATAAATTAGATGCTATTTAAAGAGCAAAGAATGTGTAACATTCTTTAATGTATTTTAATTTCAATCAGGCGTTACATGACGTGATATATCAGTGGACTTACCCAGTAGAAACAGACTGTCAATTCTATTAAATAATAAATATGAATGTGTTATTTTAATAAACATAATTAATAATTCTATTGCTTCCTAATTTATTTATTTATTCGATTTTGCATGATAATTGTATTTTTCATTAAAAATATTATTATTTAATGGAAACCGAATAAAAAAATTATTTTTTTGTTAATCAATTTTTAATGTCATCATATTAGAACATATATTATTATTGATAACAATATATTCTAAAAAAAAATAATTTAAAAAATTTTAATGATATATGATTGAGTAAGTAGTAATACATTAAAAAATAAATATATATACTGGCCTACAATAAATTACCGAATTTTATATTATATATAGAAATTATAGTTTTTTTACAATATAGCAAAAAAAAATTCTATTAATAAATTGACAAAAATTTTTATCAAAATAAAAGCATTACATTTACTTAAAATTTAAACATTTTTAGACTAATATTTAGTGTATTCACCCTTAGCTTTAATTACTGTATTGACACAATTAGATAAGCTTAAAATTAAGTGATGTAATATTTCTAAGCTAACTTTTTTCCATTCATCTTTCATAACATCAATTATCTCTTATTTTGATTTAAGTAAAGGCTTTCTTTTTCAGACCTGATAGTCTAAATAGTTCTTAATCAGATTTAAACTGAATTTTACATCATCCAATCTAAAATTGAAATATTATGCGTTACTATTCACCAAACACTATATAAAGATGTATAATAGGAAATCCAATTTGCTGAAATATAAAATTAGAATAATTACTAATCTATGAATTAGCAAGAATATTAATATAATCCTCAAAATTTATATTTTCATCTATTACAACCAGAAGTTTAATTCTATTCAAATCAAAACAACCCCAAAATATTACTGATTCCCATTAAATTTAACTATAGGTTGAATACAATTTTGATTATATACTTTTCTAGATTTCTTCAAATATTAATATGACTAAAGTTCTGAATGAGCTGAGCTAACTTTTGAGTCAAATGAGTTGAGTTGAGTTGAATCAAGTCAAATCATAAAAAATTTGACTTGTTTAACTTGAGTTGAGTTTTAAATTAAGCTTGACTTGACTTGAGATAACTCAAGCTAAATTTGAGCCTAAAGTTGAGTAAAATTTGAGCATAAACTCACCCAAAGTCAAGCAAAACTCAAGCCCAAAGTTGAGCTAAAAAATTTAACAAATTTTTTAAAGAAAGTATAAAAAAAATTGTTCAGATAGAATGATATACATAGTTCTAAAAGAACAATAAAAGTTTCGTTCTGATAGAATAATAAATCATTGTATTATAGGAAAGATAAAAAAATCATTCCTTTAGAACTATAGTATATCGTTCTATTAGAACAAATTTATTTATCGTTTCTTTAAAATAATGTTTTATTATTCTATTAGAATGATTCTTCTATCGTTCTTTTAGAACGATTTATTATCATTTTATCAAAATGATTTTATTTATCATTCTTTTAGAACGATACATTATCATTCTATTAAAAATATTCTTTTATCATTCCTTTA